GAAGTCAGCCGAGTCCGATACGGAGTATATGGAACGGAGCGGTACGGTTCTTGTCCCTCGGATTGTGGAGAATCGACATTTGGATGAAGCCATTGCATCTGTTCGTGATACACATCTCACAAGGACGGAGGCCTTTCATCAGGAGAACCGACATCTCCGAGCGGCGGTGAATAACAGTGTCCAAACTGAAGCTATTCAGTTCACAGAAGACACCCGGATTACCACGCTCTCCAATCTTGAGGTCCGCATACAAATTCATGCTGTCGGACTGAGTGAGCGAGATGCACAGCTAGCAGACGACCAAGCTTCAGGCACAATGGGAATTGGGCTCGGATGTAGCGGGACTGTACAAGCCGTCGGTAAAGCCGTTCACAATCTGATACCTGGAGACAGAGTAGCCTGCTTGAGATCTGGAACAGCAGCCAGTTTCTACCAAGACTGCGAAACTGCCTTTCAAAAAATACCTTCGCATATGTCTTTTGAAACTGCTGCCGCAATGCCTGCGGCTTATTGCACGGCTTTCCATGCTGTTCACCGTCTCGCTGAGATAAAACCAGGAGATCGAGTATTGATCAGTTCTGCTATTGGAGCAGTTGGTCGAGCTACAATAGAAGTATGTACAGTTGCAAGTGCTCATGTATACGCGCTTGTGGAGAGTGTAGCGGACAAAGATCTTTTGATCTCCTCGGGTCTGTTACCAGGTGAACGGATCCTTCTCAATGACGAGTCGTTCTTAAAAGATCTTCTTATGTTGACTGATAATAGAGGGGTGAAGATGATAGTCAACTGTGATGAATCTGACAACCATACCTTCCGTTCATTATGGAGATGTTTTGGAACATCAGGCACTTTCATTCAGTTACGTGCCCGTAATACAGTTAAGAGCGGATGGGAAGTGCCAGAGCTTGACAAAGAGATCATATTTGCGACAGTCGATATTGGAAGCCTATTGAGCAACAATTCAGATATGCTTGACGAGGTCTGGGACCGAGTAGCGCGTCTTCTTCGCCGAGGCACACTCCGTGGTCACTTGCACCCGACCACTTATAGCATCTCGGACATTGCTGAAGCGCTGGATGTCCTCACACTAGCAGATCATCCAGATCCGATTGTACTCACAGCTGGGAAAGGTGATAAGGTTAAGGTTCGTATCGTTCCCTTCTGTTCTGAACAATACTAAGTCAGTAGACTATCGTTCCTAGGCAGCCCGATATGCTTCTTCGACCCGAAGTATCATACATGCTTGTCGGGGGGCTTGGCGGTATCGGTCGCGCGACAGCACTCTGGATGGCAGATCATGGAGCAAAAACAATCATATTTGTCAGTAGGAGGGGACTGTCAGGAGAGTTTTCTCAAAGTACTATCAAAGTATTGCAAGAGAAAGGCGTCCGAGCCATCATTCATGCCTGCGACATATCCCAGAGTGATCAAGTTAAGAAGATGGTGAGCAGTCTCGAAGAAACTGCACCGCCAATCCGGGGCATCATCCAAGGTGCCATGATCTTGAGGGTACCTTCTCGTAAAATTAGACCTACAAGGATATAGTTGACAGTTCGCAGGACACCCATATCGAGAAAATGACTCTTGGCGACTACACTGCGGTTCTCAATCCTAAGTATCACGGCACTTGGAATCTCCACCGATATCTCCCATCCAATCTCGACTGGTTCATTATGCTATCTTCCATTAGCGGCATAATAGGTAACGCGACCCAGGCCGCCTACGCCGCCGGCTCAACATTCATGGACTCGTTCGCAGCATACCGCAACTCCTTAGGCCTTCCAGCCGTATCCTTAGATCTAGGAGTAATCACGGATGTGGGCTATCTAGCCGAGAACAAAGAACTGGCATCGAGAATGGGACAACAAGGGTTCCAGGGAACTGACACCAAGACCCTTATGTCGCTGATTGAGGTAGCGATCATGAGCTGCCAGGAAGACAGAACGATCTCCCAGATTATTACCGGGCTAGGTCAGTGGAAACCAGGTCGATCACTGCCCAATTTTGATGCACCTCTTTTCTCCCACTTTCGTCGACTCCATCTAGACACGTCGGTCAACGCTCAGACCGAAATTCCCGATACGTTGAGACAGGACCTCCAAGCCACAAAGACACTTGAAGATGCTGCGGCCGTGATCTACACAGCTTTAAGCACTCGAATCGCGACTAATCTCTCAATTCCAGTTAACAGCATCAACCCTACTGGCCCAATAACGGAGTACGGGATTGATTCCCATGTAGCGGTCGAACTCCGGAATTGGATCTCCAAGCACATGGAGGGAACGGTGCCTATTCTGGACATCTTATCCAGTTCGTCCTTAATGGAGTTGGCAGGGAAGATAGCAGACAGATCTAATCTAGTAAGGGTCGAGGAGGAGCACTGACGGGATATGATGGCGGTGTACACTCTTGGACAGTGTTTAGGGGCTGGCTTGATATCCGAATGCTGCACAGCGGAAATGGACAAGAACCAAAGAGGGTCGCTACAAGGTTCTCTCTTTACATAGCTTCCATGCATGATAGCCTATTAACCGGAGAAAGTTATTCTTGTAGAAAAGTTCGCTATTCGTTCTAGGGCATACTCTTAAATCTAGGATAGCCTCTAAGTGTCTTCCAACTCTCCTAATCTAGCAGGAATAATCTACATCTTGACCCTTCATCGACTCTAGATTAGACTCTCTTCATCATGATACATTTCACCATCCATGCTTTCAGAACTTGTGCTGGGGATATCTGGGGCACATGATGACTTGATATGCTGCTTTCGAGCGCATATAACAGTCCGAGCAAATTTCGCAATGCTCATACTCAAACCATGCACCACAACAGAGCCTAAAACAGTAAAGCAAACAACTGGCCAGACCAACTCCACAGTTTCACAGGAATACTGGTCCCACTTGTCACCTGGCTGTGTCTGTGTCCGGGAACAGGAGGACTTAAGGATTTCCCTAGCCTCCATGGACAAAAACAGAGCACCAACACCCATGGGTCCAAAGTGACCGCAGAAGAGCGCCTCCTTGTACGTTTTGATATCGGGAATCAATGGTTTCAGGGCGAGAATGAAAGGGATTCGACGAAACAGCAGAACAAGGAGTACGAATATCCCAATTTTTGACAATGATAACTGTGGTGTATCTGCGACAGCGGTCCAAGGGATCATCAGGCCAAAATAGATAAACGTCGCTATGCTGAGAGAGAAGCTGATGAAGGAGGTGGCCACTGGATTTACCTGGTAGGCGTGTTCAAGCCGGCCGTGGTAAGCATACCCGATGCCTGCGCTGAAGATAAGTAGGAAATCATCCATCCCCATCGTGCTTGAGAATCCTAAGCTGAAGAAGATCAGAGCTAAGGGGAACAGAGCAACGAAGTTTTCAGTAATCCTACCACGCTCGTGGGAATACCGGAGGAGCCTATTGGCTCCATAACCAAGACTTATCCCGACAGCAACACTTGCTATGCATTGGTATGCTATTGTCACCGTAAAGTATTCCCGCAGCACAGCACCAACAGAATGCTCCTTCAGGATAAAAATCCCGAGATATAGGAATGGGAATGAGGTGCCATCATTCACGCCAGACTCCGCGGCCAGAAGATACTTAATACGGTCGCTAGTCGCCTTGGGGTCCTCCAGGATGGTCGCGACCAGCACCGGATCGGTGGGAGTGAGGCAAGCGCTGATGACGAGCGCAGACGGATAGCTAGCACCGAAAACCAGATGGACCAGCATCGCACATACGACCCAGCCACTTGTCATGATAGGGCCAAGAAGGATGCTGATTCCTTTCCAGTGCTTCCTGCAGTATCCCGCAGGGAGCTCAATGCCCACGATGAATACCTGCATACTCGCAGTGAGTCGTGCTAGTTCCTTGGTGACTTGATCGCCGAGCTTCCACGGCTGGGGCTCAACGGCCCCCAACACCGCGGGCCCAGTCAGAATACCGACCAAAGTAGCGAGCGGTGGTTCTGCCAGAAGGAGTGTTTCTTTTAGAAAACGTGAAAGCACAGTATATAGGAGGATACTGCCCGAGAGGAACAAGAAGCTGAGATGGAGTGATGTAGGGTTGATCTGACTCCATACCATGATGAATTTCGCAAACCGGAGGTCTCCTATGAGTGAGAAGTATATAAGAGTAGAAGTTTTGATTTCCTATCTACCACGCTAACCATTGGAGTTTTTTCGAGCAGACAGTTGAATCTTGAACCGTTTGAAGAATGCATAGTTGTTTATAGACGCTTTAACGACGTAGGCAAAGAAGTGATAACTTACAGCAAATGACTTGCCAAGCCACGTGCCCTGGCATTTTCTTGGTTAAATCAGAATGAAGAACTGGTAGAGCAAAACTTCTTACCCTTATGGTTCGTTGACAGCTGGTAGTGACGTCAACGATATGCGAGGCAAACTGTTTGGATTTTTGCCTCTTTATTATGTCGTAGCAGCAGCTGTTCCTCGCTGGAGATCTCAACGACCTTGTCACAGGTCAGATAAGGTTGCTTCGCAGATCCAAGGGTCCTTAGTCGTCCCTATCCCTGTATGGAAGTCTGAAGTGCTGTTGTTAGGGCTATACTAGTTGGGGTTAGTGTTGTTTAGTAAGCCCGCGATGGATCGTCCCTTACCTACCAGCAATTTCTTCGGGAACATAATGACAAGTAGCTTCCTTCGTAGAAAGATAAGACTTTGGTAGCACTTTGATCTCGTCGAATTTGGTAACGTTGAACACAAGCTAATCTACAGAGAAGTTCCGCTGCCTTCCAACTCAAATTACCACTAGTGGATGTCTTACTAGGTGAGAAATGTTCTACACTTCCCTGCCCCAAGGGTTCTCGCATCGTGTTTCAATGCGAGCGAGTCTCCTGTCGGTACCGAACATCTTGTCATGGAGAAAGTCGGCAGAGCAATTGAGTATTAATGTATTGCAGGGATAACTGTGAATATCATATCGTTGAACATTGTCTAACACTTCGAGTCATCGCCCAAGTAGGCCCTGTAGTAACATAGGGTCTACCGCTCATACATTTTTTTTTTCGTATTGATCTTACACTGATTACAATCTTTGGTTTCTAAAAATCGGTATGCCAAGCTAGGCCTGGTGCTTTGGCGCATTGCCGGCAGTCACTAGAACAGGTTGTGGAGGCTTTCGGTTGGAGACCCGCATGCTCTCCTATTTGCGCTGATACTCTGGAGGCACGAATAGATCCTTTTGATGGCGGTGTATTCAATAATACCCATAGACATGGTCTTGGAGGGTATATCACCGGACAAATAATCTATCGACCTAAGATCCGATCACGATGCACAAACCTCCCATTCCGCTTGATCTGGTCGTGAAAGCTCTTTGCCCAATGCAAATGATAATTATCACCCAGCTCTGTGAATAGCCTCAGCGACATCTCCTGATCTTTCAGGTCCTCCGAATGATTGAACGGCGAATACATGTATCGTCGCTGGATCGCAGGCATATTCTTGTCCCAACCCTGGTTCACGGCATATCGGGCTACAGCAACTGCCTTGGAGTCCGTTGCATATGCTTGGGGGGTATCGCGAAAGATATTCCGGGGGACTTGGTCTAGGAGAAGGATTAGGGCTAGCGCACCCTCGCCTTCGCCGTCCAACTTCCAGGCGTCGAGAGCCCCTGTTTTGGCGGCTTCGTAGTCGGATCCAAGGTGCTTGCGAACGTAGGCGTCGTCGGAGGGACTTCCGTACCAAAATGGCTTTTGTTGAAGATACTCTTGGGAGCCTTTCTGGCCAAACCAGAAGGTGAGGACTTTGTCATAAGGTTTTGACATTGTTTTCCGCATGGATTGCGTTTGGCCGATGTGGGGGATCTAGCGTAGAACAGGGTCTAGATGCAGAGACTTGGTATGCTATTGGGCTGGCAAAGCACGGCTTTGTTTCATATGTGAGATGGAGCAATTATATGCAATTTCGTCGTTGGAAGTTAACGTCCTTCGTTAACATTTATACTTGCGCCACTGTCAGTCTAACCCATTTAGGATATCACACTCTGAACTCAAACATGGTCTACTGTCTCAGCTTTGGGTTATTAAGTTAGCTTATAATGTCAAAGACCCTGGAGCTGAACATCGAATTGGGGATGTGGTTTAGTGGTATAATGTTCGCTTAGCATGTGAAAGGTCCGGGGTTCAATTCCCCGCATCTCCATCTTTTTTTTTTTTTTT